CGGCCCGTCCCCCCCCCCCCGGAGCGAGGCGAGAGCGAGCGTGCCAGCGCGGGTATGCGTGCCGCGCCGCATGCACCACGAAAACATGTGACTGTGCAGGACAGAACATGTCAGCAGCAAAAACATGTTGCAGACCGTCACAACCCGAACAGTGCACACCAGCATGAACATGAGACTGCACATGACATGAACATGTCGCACTGCAGAAACATGCTCCACAGCTGTAAGGCCTGAACAGGGTAAAGAGCGAACTGCTCAGTCTCTTCGCGAAACCGCACAGTCCCTCCCCTTTTTGGCTCTTCCCGAGCGGGTCACCTGAGTCGTGCTGGCGACCAGAAAGCGGGTGCGAGTCTTTGCGAAAGCAAAAGAAATCAAAATTAAATCGCTCGTAGAACGAGCTCTGCCCGAACCTTCTTCAAAACTCGGGCACCGGTGAACGCCGATCGCTCTTAGGGCGTGCGGTGCGGCCTGAACGAAGTCGGCTCACCCACGGGGCCGAGCAAATTCTGAGGATCGCTCGACTCGGGATCTGCTTCCATGACCTCGCGCACAGTGACCGAAGAAGGCTGAGCCGGCCGCTGCCGAAAGGCGTGCCAGGTCCCGTCAACTCAGCGAAGAGCTGGGGAGTCAACTTCGCTGTGGATCTTGAGAAAGACCGATCGTCTCGGGCCTGATCACGGACCGGATCCGACACGTGTCTTCCTCGTCGTTCTGATCATAGTTGATCAGGTCGACCGCCGCAGCGAACGTGCGGGTGTCCAGGTCGTCCTGAGCACGACGACGAACTGCCAGCTCCCCCGAGGGGATATCAGCGAGCGCGTTCGCCGACTCAGCTGCGGCCGACCAAGCCGACTGAGCCAGAGCCGGCGGCCCACGAGGCACTGCTGCGATCGCACACCATCGTGCGACATCTCGGCAAGCGCCTTCGTAGCCACCACCTCGGGATCCCTCACGAACAACTTGCTCTCGGTCTGAACGTGAAAGTTCCCCGCGTCAAGGCCGGCCACGAACGTGACCCGAACCCCGACCTGGCTAGGGTCGAGCGTCGTCGCATGCCACCAGCCTTGGTGAGCTGCAGCAAGCTGAGCGAACTGCTCTGTCTGCTCCGGACCTTTAACTCGTGCCCTCTGATCACGGCACCGAGAGATGGTTTGGATCAGAGTCGGCCCACTGATGTGCGACACCGTGAGCCACGTCGCCGGCGACCGATGTACGCTTGAGGTCGATGCGGTTGTTGGAGTCGCGATAGCGAAACCCCACCCTGTCCGCATCATTTCCCACAGCATCCTCTGAGGGATCGGACACGCGGAGCTCAAAGCGAGAGCGAGTGCTGTCTCCAGCGTGCCATTGGGTCCGATCGAGTAGGTACGACCACACTCGAAGGAGAACACGGAGACCCTCCAGCCTGAAAAGGCAGCCACCACCACAGACAGCGAGCTGTTCGTCATGATCTCCCTAACGAGCCACGCCTGAAAAAGGCGACCCTGTCATCACGAGAGTCGTCTTCAATCATCTTCACACTCCGCGATCCGCGATCGACTGAGAAATGTGGCAGACGAACGTCATATGATTGTGGGCAGCCTGGGAAAACTGACCTCCCCCGCCACCACCTCTCCTGTTCCAGACCTGCCTAACCCGATAGTGGGAGAACTGCTCCCAAACTCCCAAGAATTTTGGATTTTGGAGTTTCAAATCAATTTGAGAAGCTTGACTTCTTTGAAAGAGGGCTTCAAGAGTTTTTCAAGGGAACTTGAAGGAGACTGAGAAGAGGAATTAATTCTCAAAGAAGGTTCAAATCCCTTCTCAAGCCTCAAACTTCTCTTGAAAAGCTTCCTTCAAACCTCTTCTTCTGAACTTTAAACTAACAGTTTGACTCAACTTGTGTTGAACGTGTTTCATCACTTTCAAACCTTCGCCCTACTTTTGAATCAGGTTCCTCGTGGACATCTTCTGTGGAGCGAAAGGGCACCAACACAAGAGAGAGCAGTGGTTTGGAACGTTCTGAGCGTGGTCGTCGTACCGACCCCTTCCGCCGGTGAAAAGT